CATGTGACCTGCTACAGTAATTAAGATTACAGCCTTTTCCCAAGGAGCAAGAATCTGTTTTTCACATCATGCAAATCATTTGGGTGGCTGAAAAATGTTGTCCGCAGTGTTTGGTGTCTTCCCTGTTGATCCTCTAAGGTGGGGAGCTTTGCAGTTTTATTCCTAACTGGAAACTGAATGTGTAGGAAACCCCCAGTTCTTAAAATTTAAAAAAAAAAAAAAATCACTGCCACCATTGGCACTGGAATCTTTAAATCCCAGAGCAAGAGTGCTTGACAAAATCTATGCAGTCCTCCAGTCCTCCTATGCTTAACTGTTCAGGGAATGTTCTTTATCTTTTAGAAGAATTCAGTTTAGTCGTGATTATATTACGGAGAATGGAACTCATAGTAGCCACTGTGCCTCAGAACATGGTGAGGACGCAGTGAAAAAGACCAACCAAGCCATGCCTGTGCACAGTGCATGGTGACAGTGCTGCCAGGATCCCCTTGGGGACACACTTGGACCCCTCCCACTTCTCAGAACACACCGCCCTCCCACCCACCCAGCGAATGCCTGGAGCTGGATCCCTGGCTGACCCTTGCCGGGCCTGGCTCTCAAGGTGGTGTTGGGAACCAAAAATTCAGTATGCGTCAGAGAACACACTGGCCAAAGCGACAACGGAGACTGCCTGGCCATGGAGAAACTTGCAAAGAGAGGCATGGATACTGGATTGGAAAGTACAGTTTCTCCTTGAAGTTTCTAAGCTAGCACAGGGACAGCCATTTTCATGTGGGTGGCTCCATGCTCCGTGCTTGGAGCAATGTGTGGTACATAATAGGTGCTCATTAAAAGGGGAACTTGCCAGGTATCGTGGTGCACACCTGTAATCTCAGCTACTCAGGAGGCTAAGGAAAGAGGATCACAAGTTCCAGACCAACCTGGACAGACTCTCAAAATTTTAAATTAAAAAAAAAAAATCGTGAAATTTAAAAGCTGCTACTTACTGAATCCTATGCTGTTATGGGTCCACTGTTCCCTCCTCACTTCCGGACCCTCCAGCTGCCTTGGGGAGGAGGAGGCCTCATTTCCATGCTGCAGATGAAAACAAAAGCCGGGAAGGGTCTGGGTTTCCTGCTGTGGACAGGTCTTTTCCCAGTACATCAGTCAGGGCTGCTCCTCCCTCCACGTGCCACTTGCCTGAATGTGCGAAGCCCTGGGCAGCACCACCTGCACCCAGACAAAAAGCGGGCCTTGGACTTTATGTGACTTTGACAAAGCAAGCCACCTGCTCTCTGCACCTCCATGTCCCAGTGCCCAGTGCCCGCTCACTGACAAGCCCAGGCCACATCAGGGGTTCTGGCTAGTACATTTACAGTACTGCACAACTACCCCTTTCCTGGTTTGAAAGCATTCTCACCACCCTGAAAGGAAAGCCCATCTTTGCCTTCAACCCTCACAGCCACCTCATGCTTTCTGTCTCTTGGCTTCACCTCTCTTCGGTGTTGCATACAGATGAGTCATCTACTGTGGCTGTTTGTGTCCGACTTCTTTGACTCAGCTAAGGTTCCTGAGGCTCCTCCATGTTGTATGGTAGCACACATAAGTACTTCTTTTTGATGGCTGGGTATTACTCCACTGCACAGAGAGACCATGTTTTTGTTCATCCCTGGTTGATGAATCCCCTGGTGGTTCAGCCCAGTGGTGGAACACTGGGTTGCTTCCATCTGCTGCTGCATGGGTACTGCGCCGCTTTGCATCTCTGCTTGTAATTCTTGCAGGTAACACCTAGGAGTGGCATTTCTGGGTCATGTAACAATTCCACGGCAGACCTCGTAGACTTATGGCCTCCCTCTGTGACGCCTGCCCCAATTTCCCCTCACACAGGCTACTCCCTCTTAGCACCGACTTACAGAGCGACTGTTGTTGGCTTCTGGGTAGTTAGTTTTACACGCTTCATCCTTCAGGAAAAGCACTCTTCTCTTTCAGTTCCCACAGTTCCCACAGCACGGACACCCACACATGCCCCTAGAGCAATGCCAAGTGGAGAGCCAGGATGTGGCTCGGGTTCCAGCCTAGCACCACAGAAAGAGAAAAGAAACAATATTGTCTTAGCCACTTTCCCATGGCTGGAACAAATACCCAGCACCCCCAGTATAGAGGAGGAGAGATTTGTTTTGGCCCATGGTCTCAGTCCATGGTCAGCCGGCTCCAAAGCAGGAACAGGATGGCAGAGGAGACTGGCAGAGGACAGGGTGCTCAACCCACTGCAGCCAGGAAGCAGACAGAGAAAGGAGGGGCAGGATGAGGACACAGCCCCAACAACTGCCTCCTAACAGCACACTGGGCTGCAAACTCATCATGGGTGAATCTTCAGATGCATATGACGCCCCCATGATCAAATCACACTCTAAACACATGAAACTTTGGGTGGATGTTTCAAATCCAAACCATAACATTCCACCCTTGGCCCCCAAAAGCCTCATGTCCATCTCATTATGCAGAATGTATTTAGTCATCTCTAAGAGTTGTAAAGTCCCAGCAAGTTCCACCATTGCTGAAAAGTCCAAGTCCAAAGTCTCCTCTGAGACTCAAGGTAAACTTAGCTGTAAGTCCCTGTAAAAATAAAAAAGAAACTTAAATACTTACAACATACAATGGCCCAGGTTAAAAATTCCTGTTCCCAAAAGAAGGACTATCAAACCACAGCAAGGCTGAAATCCAGCAGGCAAACATAAAATCCTAGGGCAGGTTGTGGAGAGATGTGTGCTCTGAAGGGCTTGGGTGGCCCTACCCCTGTGCCACTGCTGGTTGCAGCCCTCATGGCCTCTCGGGCTGGATCCACCCACTTCCTACAGATGATCCATGTCCCTGGCATCTCTGACACTCTGGGGTCTCCCCTGAAGCTTTGGCTTCACTCTTACAACTTCCCACACTGCCTCTCAGGGTCTCACTGCCTGGCCTCCCAGGCCTTCCTTGAAATTTGGGTGGAAGTCAACTCTTACATTCGGCATTCCCACAAAATCAGCACCACATGGATGACACCAAGGTCTGCTACCGGCTCTAGCAGTAGCCAGCCCCCCTTGGATCATGGCTGTAGTGGTCTCTGAGTGTCTGGGTGGCTGAGCCCTATGAAACAAATCCCAGGGAACCAATTTCCTAAGCAGCCCTTCTCAATCAGGGGGCCCACAGACACTCTTCTCAAATGAAATGAGGGCTTTATAGTTTTGCATCCTTGAGCCTGTGAAGGGTAGAGTCTTGTTATTCCTGAGATACCACTAAGTCATCTTTGCTGCTGTACTCAAGCAAAGTATTTGGTGGCTTCCTCTTCTTCTTCCTCTTCCTCTTCCTCTTCCCCTTCTTCTTCTTCTTCTTCTTCTTTCTTCTTCTTCTTTTTCTTCCTCCTCCTCCTCCTTCTTCTTTTCTTCTTCTTCTTCTTCTTCTTCTTCTTCTTCTTCTTCTCCTTCTTCTTCTTCTTCTTCTTCTCCTTCTTCTTCTTCTTCTTCTTCTCCTTCTTCTTCTTCTTCTTCTTCTCCTTCTTCTTCTTCTTCTTCTTCTTCTTCTTCTTCTTCTTCCTCCTCCTCCTCCTCCTCCTTCTTCTTCTCTTCCTCCTCCTCCTTCTCCTTCTCCTCCTCCTCCTCCTCTTCTTCTTCCTCTTCCTCTTCCTCTCCTTCTTCTTCTTTCTCCTTCTCCCCTTCCTGTTCCCCCTCCTGCTCCTCCTCCATCATTTTTTAGTATTTGAGCAGCCATGCTTACCATGGGCCCAAATTTGCATGTGCTTTCTTTCTGATGAAACTACAAACTTTTCGTATCTGCTTTTTGCTCAAAATTTTCACTTAGATCTGGATAAAGGCAGCCAGCAGTACCCATGCTAAGCCTATACATTGGGCTATGTCTTAGTTATTTTTCTCATTGCTGAGACAAAACATACTCAATACCCACACATTAAGGGAGGAAAGGTTTATTTCAGCCCACAGTCTGTAGAGGTTTCAGTCCATAATCAGCTGACTCCAAGGCGGGTGGCATGGCAGACGGGCATCACAGAGGAGAAACAGTCCATGGCATGGTAAGCAGAAGGCAAGCAAAGAAACAGCCTGCTTCTCCCTCTGTCTTCATAGTCCATTCAGGATAAGCCTATTTATTGGTGCCATCCACATGCAGGCTGGGACTTCCAGTATCCACACCAGAACTATGCTAAACCATTTAGTTATCACACATCCTTAATTCCAGTATCACATACCCCAGATCCAGCCACCTCAAAAAAATCCACACCTATGAGAACATGAGGCTTTGGGGGAACATCTAGATACAAGCATATCAAGATACTTTAAATTTCAGTTTAATTAGTCCACTGCCCTTAATCTCAGTCTTCCACAAAGTCTCGGGCCATGGGCAAAATGTAGACACATTTTCTGCCAGAGTGTAACACATGCAGTCCAACTGCCAGTGGAGTCCTCATTCCCAGTTGAAACCTTCTGAATCTGGCTCTGATTGTCCATATTCCTATCAGCACCTGGTCTTCTGAGCTCCGACCAAAATCTTCCACCAGAGCTGGGGATTTAGCTCAGTGGTGCTGCCACCTACCTTGCAAGTGCAAGGTCCCAAGTTTGATCCCCAGTACCAAAAACAAAACAAAATCTTCCACCAGTCTCTCTGCTTACAATATTCTAAGCCTTCTCCAACCTCCATTTCCAAACCATTCCAAACTCTTCCTACAAACCATTTCCAAAGGCTTCTGAACCACATTGCCAGGCAGTCACAGCAACATCCCCAGTCTCAGTATCAGTATGTCATAGCCACTTTCCTCTTACTACGACAAAATACTCAACACCCACAGTTTAAAGGAGGAGAGGTTTATTTTCCCTACAGTTTCCATCCATGGTCCTGACCCCAACAAATGTGAACAAATGGTCTGAGCCAGGGCATCAGGGTCAGTCCTGAGACTCTTGTTGGCCGTGTTGGGAGAGAGGGGCTCTTCCTAGAGTCACTACCTGCACCCAGAGCCTCCAGGACCACATCCTCTGAAGCATGAAGTCACCGGGGAGGGAGGCAAAGGCAAGACACAGAGAGGGGAGTCGGGGTCCTGATAAAGGCAGGCGAGCTCCTGGATGCAGCTGTGCCTGTAGTCCGGGTTTGTCTCTCGAGCCTCTGGTGTCATGAGCCAGTAAACTCTATCGCCACAGCTAACTTGTCACTTGCCTCCAGGGACATGTGCAATGGTAGACATGTAAGATCAGCTGCTGTTTAGATCTCAAATGTCCCCCAATGTCTCATGTGTTTAGAGGTGGCGATTTCGTGAGGGGATTCGATCACGGGGTGCGGTGTTTGTGAATCCATCGATCATGCGTTCATGGCTGAGCGTTGTCAGGAGGTGGCGCTGGTTGGAAGCAAAACCCTGGGCCTGGCTCGGCTCCTCCCTTCCTACTGGGCTTCCCAGCAGCCTTGAGGGGACCAGCTGTCCTCTGCCAGCCCTGGCCAACCATGGAATGAAACCCAGGGCTGTGAGTCAAGTTGACCCTCTCCTCCTTAGGTTGCTGGTGTCTGACACTGTCCCAAGAGGAGAAGGGACCTGAGACACAGCCGCAGAGCCCCTCCCTTGGGGACCAGGTTGGCCTTCACTTCTGTCACTTTTGTGCTTGGGGCTGTGGAGCTTGAGACCAGAGAGAGTTGGTGTGAGCAGGTCACTGTGAAGAGGGAAAATGAGCACAGTCAGGCAGGAGCCAAGAGGCCTGCACACGCAGCCCTGGGTTGGGTGCTCGGCTCTGGTCACAGAAGAGCAGAGGCCGCTAAGCAGTGGCCCTCTGGCCTGATTACCTCAGGCTGTGCTCTGGGACCGTGTGTGTGGCCCTGAGAGCCACCAGTCATTGACCTCCTGGGACTCCTGCTGTGTTCTTGGCCCCACGCAGAGCCCGGGTCCGCCTCACTCCTAGAAGGCACCCTGAGTGCTGGGGACGGCTTAGCCCCTACCACCACCCCTGTGTCCCCATCGGATCCCATCAGGCTGAGCTTTCCATCACTGTACGGTCACTTGGCCGCCAGGGCCACCCAGGCAGGCCAGACGAGAAGGGTAAGGGCCTTGGGTGAGGGTCTGAGGGGTGTCTGTCAGATGTGCACGTCCAGGTGGAGCCTGGTCTGTACCCACGAAGGTGAATGGGCGTTGCCCCCAATCCCACATCCCCTGGCTGGGCCCCTGCATGTCACCACCCCAGCCCACCTGTGCCTGTGCCCTGGACCCCGCCTCCTCCAAGAGCGGTCTTCCCGCAGTGTCCATGACCGCCCCCATATACACCAGGGGCGGGGCCGTGACAGCGCACGGGCAGCCCCACTGGTCGCGGAGGGGACCTCAGAGGTGTCACACCGGCCATGGGTGGGCCCCTGGGCACATCCTAGGAAGGAAGAGAGGATGCCCTCTGTGACCTGGACCCGGACTTCGCAGCTCCCCGGATCCTCTGCAGACACCACGCCGCTCACCTGGTCAGACTGAGAGCCTTACTGAATAAACCTCAGCTAAACAAAGGTGAAAATAACAATACAAAAAATAAAGGGAGGGGCCAGGGGCAGCGCATGCTGAGCACTTGCCTAGCAGGCGTTAGACCCTGGCTTTTGTTCCCATGCTGCAAACATAAAACGAAAACCATTAAAAAGATGCAGGACACAGAGGTGGATGCCTGCGATCCCAGTGACTCCAGAGAGGAGGCAGGGGACTCCCTGAAAGTCTCCCTTGGGCAACAAGTAATAAATAAATGTAAAATAATAGGTAAAAAAATAAATGAAGATGAAAAAATAAATAAGGGTGTCAGGCACTGTAGCGCACTACCTGTGATGCCAACTACTCAGGAAGCTGAGGCAGGAGGGTAGCAATCTGGTGCACAGCCTGGGCCACTCAGCAAGACCCTGTCTCAGAGGCACAGTGAGAAGGAGAGGGTGTGGGGTGGTGGCAGTCGCCCTGGTTCAATCCCAATCCCTGAACATAAATAAGGTGACTAGGGAGCTGTGTGTTGTGGCACCTGCCTGTAATCCTAGCATTAGGGAGGCTGAGGCAAGAGGATCGCTGCAAGTTTGAGACCAGACCAGCCTGGGCTACATAGTGAGTTCAGAGCCAGTCTAAACTACAAAGTGAGACCCTGTCTCAGAGAGAGAGAGAGGGAGAGGGAGAGGGAGAGGGGCCGGGAGAGGGGGGGGCAAGGGAGAGGAAAGGAGGGAGGGAGAGGGAGATTGGTAGAAAGAGGAGTGAAATATCGTCAGAGGTGATGAGGGATAGGCAGGCCGAACATGCCACCTCCCCTCCAGGAACAGCAGCACTGACTCTGTCCCTGGTCCCTTGACCCAGTCAGTCCTCAAAAACCAGAAGGTACTGCTGGTTTGTGGACTCGCACAGGCACCGCGCGGTCTCTGTCGCCGCCTGGTGGCCATGTGGAAAAGCACACTCATGCCTGCCTGCCTCCCTCATGGGTGAACTGAGGCTGGTGGGCTTCTCAGCCCGCAGCTCCCATCATGAGTCCCTACATCCTCCCACCCCAGACTCGAGCCCCCTGCGAGGGGCACCAGTGCCCCCAGGGGGCTGGGGGCATCTGCACCGGAGGGGAGGCAGAGACTGAGTCCTTCCTGGGTCCCCACACCGGTCCCAGAGGCCAGGAGCCACAGGACCCAGCTCTGTCCCCCGAGGCCTGGCATAGCCCGACTGGCATGAAGGATGTTGTGTTATGTTGTGTTGTATTTGGAGATTGAACGCAGAGCCTTTGTACAGAGCTACATCCCCAGGCATTTTTAAAAACTATCGTTTGCATTAAGACAGAGTCTTGCTCAAGTTGGACTCCAACTTGGGATCCTCCTGCCTCTGCCTCCCAGAGTGCTGAGATTAGAAGCCTGGGCTACTGTGCCCAGATGGGGTGGATGTGTTTTACACACAGGAGGAACTGGACAGCTCTCAAAAATGAAATCTGGTGGATTGTTTCATGATCACGCCCCATAAAGTTTCCACAAGTTCAGACTTCCCAGCTCCCTGGAAGTGCCGATGCCCAGTTTCTGGCCCAGCCCAGGTCAACACATTTCCTGTCCTCTGGACTTTGCCCTTCCCAGGGCCCCACGAGTGGCCAAAACAAGACGTGTCCAGGAGAGCTGGCTGCACCCAGCAGAGCGTGCAGCTGTCGGGCGCTGGGCTGCCTGTGTCTGTGTTCAACTTCTGTAAGAGAAACCAGTCGGTTTTCCAGAATGGCTGCCTGGCTCTGCCCCGAGAGTCCCCACGTCCCACATTCTTGTCGGCCTCGGCCATGTCCCCTTTATCTCAGCCACATTTCCAGTGTGGATTCTGGAGCCCCCAGCCAGGGACCACTGGTGTCCTGAGTTTCCCTGCCCCAGCCAAGGTACAGGGGGTCCCAGTCCAGAGCCCACCTGAGACCGAGATGTGCCTGTGACACAGGAGTTGCAAGCAGACTCTGCTCTGGGTCACAAGCGACCACCCAGGCGAGCACCGCAGCCAAGGTCTGCCGGCTCGGCCGCCACTGGGACCTGACAGCAAGGGGGACAGGCAGGGGTGTGGGTGAGCACTGACAGGGTTGGGGCCCTCGTCTGGCGTGGCCTGGTTGACAGGCGTCTCAGAACCACTCCGTCTGGGCCCGGGTGCCAGCCTCCCCCAGGTGACTCCTCCTGATGGCACCTCACCCTGGGTGCTGTGAACTGAGGGCCCGTGGTGTGGGAATTACTGGGCCCTTGTGCCAGAAGTCGGTGCCGTGCCCTCCGACCTGAGAGGAGGGGACATCGCGGGGTGGAGGGGACATCATGGGATGGCAGGGTCACTGCCACCTTCCCCGGCCCCACCCCCAGCTTCCTGTTCCTCCCTCACTGCCAGCTCTGTGTCCCCAGGTCAGAAGCCGTGGGCTGGGTCCCCCAGGTGCCACCTCCATGGCCGCCCAGCCTCCCTACCAGACTAGGGCTGCAGAAGCCACTGCCAGGCCGATGAGCCGGACAGGGCACAGCGCCAGGCCCAGCTGCCCTCTGCCTCAGGCAGGTCTTCCCTGTGCTCCTACCGCGTGCCGCTCTGGCCCCAGGTGCTGCCCACTGGGGCATGATGACACCTGGGTGACGCCTTAGCCAGGGAGGGCCTTTTTCTGTTCCCTGCAGTCAGGGGCCCCGGGGCCTTAGCCTGAGCTACATCACAGCCTTTATTTTATGACAAGTTTTGCCAAGTTGCTAAGTTGCCCAGACTGGGTTCAAACTTGCCATCCTCCTGCCTCAGCCTCCCAGAGTGCTGGGACTGCAGGCTAGTGCCACCTTCCCCCCACCATACCCACGCAGGCACAGACCTGGGTGCTGAGAGGCAGTGCCCTGAGAAGGGATGGGCTCTGCTGGGGGAGATGCCAGCCATCGACTACGGCAGAGGGGCTCTGGGGTCAGGTGGCTGCCATGACAAGTGCCACCAGCTAGTGAAACAGTGACAGAGAACTGTTTCCTCCCCACTCTAAAGCTGGCCCCTTCGGGTGCCCGCAGGTGTCCACCTTCCCCGAGTCCCGACGCCTCTGTGCAGGCCGGGTCCCCGCACAGCTGTCACGTCCGGCGGCTGCTGCCTGCCTCTACAGGTGCACAGGGCGAGGTGGCCGCTGACCCGGCTCCTGTCCGCTCTGGCCCTTCCTCTCCCTCCTTCCCTCCTTCCTCCCAGCCTGGCCAGGCTCCTGGACAAACATCTCGTGCCTATTTCCACCCAGCCTGCCTGGAGCCCAGACCAACACTCGGGCCAGCGCCTTTGGCTCAGCACTGGCAGAGCCCAGCAGGGCCCCTGGGAGTCAGAGGGAAGGCAGGGGGTGGAGGAGGGCCTCACCCTGCGGCTGGTCCTGGGGTCCTGCCACCCCGCGCTGCCAGCTCCGTGCCTGGGGCTCAGGTCCTACACCCCAGAGCAGGCTGGGCTTAGTCAGTGAGGTGCTCTGATCCCCAAGATGGGCACTGTGCAGGGGCCAAGGTGGACACAGCATGGCAGCCCCTCACACATGGATCCTGCGGCCACCAGGTGCCCCAGAGGTCGGAGCAGGACAGGAACCCCTGGGGGCCTCCCGCCAAGCCTGGGGTCTCAGGCAGCCAAGGCCCGTGGGCCACACCCTGTCCCCCTCACCCGGTCCCTGGGGCGGGTCCAGGAGTGGACACTTGCAGTCAGGGGGAGGTGGGTTGAAATTCGAGAGCCACACGCAGCTGTCCAGGAATGAGCAGAAGTGGCCAGATGTGCAGGGGACAGCGCCTACCGGCCGCCTCTGCAGCCCTTGGCAGTGACTTCTGGGCTTGTGGGGGACATGGGAGTCTCCACTGCAGGTGCTGACCCTTCCTCTCCCCGCGGTTCTGTGCCGCCCTGATGAGGCCACCGGGCTGAGGCTTTGCCAGGGGAACCCCAGCTGCCGTGGGGCTGGCTTTGTTTCTCAGGCAGGATTTGGAGTCCAGACAATGGCACTGATGTTATTTTCCTTCTGAGCGGGTTCTCATCGGGGAGCTGTGGACCAGACGCCTGCCTGGGCTTCCTTCCGGCCTGCAGAGGATGAGGGCTGCGGGGATCCTGTCCTCTGCCCCTCCTAACTGCCCACCAGGGTTCTCGCGCTGGCCTGGCCTGTGTGGAGCTGTGCCAGGCGCTGCTCTTGATGCCCACCGAGGATTCAGAGCTCTCTGTCACCCCGGGTTGCGATGTGGGGTGGGGGTTGCTGAGGAGAAAGGAGAGGGTGGATTAGGCTCAAATGGAGGCCCTGGTGAGGACAGGGGCACAGCGGGGCTGGAGTCCACTTCGTGTGACCCCGGGCCAGGAGTCTGCCTCCCTGGGTCTCAGTTTCCCCGCTGTGAGATGGAGACCACAGTGCCCCCTGGCTGAGCTACCTCAGTGAGGGCTGAGGCAGGGACCCCGTCCCACAGGCCTCCTCACCTCCCAGCGGCCCCTGTGGGCCCCCCAGCCTCACCACCCATCACGGGGTGGGCCCCATGACGGAGTCCCAAGCCCAGCCCATGGTGGCCAAGGGCCAGTGAGGACAAGGACAGACAGCAGGGCCGTCATCCTTGCTCTGTGTCCCTGCCCTGCTCCTGACCTCAGGTGCATGTGTAACCCCAAGACCAGTTTTCACCAGACAGCAGCTGATACTCACATGATACCTCAGCAGTGCCTCCCAACTACCAGGGAAACTGAGGCACAGCCCAAGGGTCTTGGGGAGCTGGGTTTCCACCAGTACCATCCCAGGAGCTGTAACAATGGAGGGTTTGGGGTGACCAGACAGGGGGTGCCTCCTCTGGCTCCCTGCCCATCTGTCCCTCAGGATGAGGGGAGGTGACAGGAGCTACAGCCCCAGTGGCCCCACCGCCCACCACCCTGTGCCCTGGACCACTCCGTCCAGGCTGTCACAGCCATGCCTCAGCCTCTGCCCTGCTAGAAGTACATATCCCAAGTGTGTAACCTCTCCTCCAAGTGTGTTTGTTTGTTTGATTATTTATTTTGAGACAGGGTCCCTCTACGTAGCCCAGTCTGGCCTTGAACTCCTGGTGATCCTGCCTGTCTCCCAGGTGCCAGACCCAGGGGTAGACCATCATGCCTGGCTTCTGAGTTTATTTTTAATGCAAATAATTCTTGGAGGGAAACAGAAAATTTGCACAACCCCCCATCCAGAGGTCATGTGTCTGGGGGTTCATGCTGCCTCTCCTGAGCCCCGTGTCCTGGGGGATCCCCCCAGGGGCCCAGTGCCAACACCCTGGTGAGGTGGTGCCCAGTCCAGGCAAGGGGGAAGTGAGGCTGGAGGAGGAGGCCTGGTCGCCCACCAGAGAGGAAGAGGAAGCGGAAGCACCCACACCCTCTGCTCTCTGCCCAGCTGCCCACGGGGCCTGTACTCTGGTGCACCCGGTCCGGCCACACCGGGGTGCCTGGAGCCCCAGGCTAGAGTGGGAGGAACAGCCCCACCGGGAGCTCAGCCTGGCCAGCACGGCCCTGCAGCCATCACTGCTTTTATGTGCTGGTGGCCTCAGCAGGCGTGGGATCCAGGGACATCTGCCCTGCTGTGTCCCTGTGACCCGCGCTGGTCCTGGCCTCTGTGGTGGGCCCAGGAGCTCCTCTGCTCGTGAGGGTGACAGTGACTGCAGGCCCCAGGTGTGGAGGACAATGATGCTGACCTCGCCGGCTTTGCTACCCCACCCGCCCCCACCGGCTTCCTGCAGTGGCGTCGCCTTCCGGTGCATCCCCGGCTCCGGCTCCGGGAGCACTGCTTCCTGCTCACACTGGGCAGGAGGGACTGCGCGAGTCAGGTCACCAGGAGCCGTTCCTGGCCACCATGGCCACCGTCACCCATGGGGCAGGACGTGGGCACCTTGTGCCCTCTGCAGATATTAGTCACAGACCACACAGCAGGCATCGCCCACCAGCAGGGGCTGCACAGCCCGAGACCACAAGGCATGCAGAGCCTGGGTGAGGGAGCGGCACCCCCTTTACCCAAGTTGGCTTTGGGGGTTGAGCTTGCAGAAAGTGGATGGGAAAGGACCCTTGGGAAATAACATTGGCTGGGCGGACAGCGGGTGGGGGAAGGGACAGGATTCTGGGCTCCCTGGGTAGTGGGGTCATCGGGACACCCATGATAGAGCTGCGGCCCTGCTGGTCGGCCAGGGGACACAGCCACTTGGGTGGGGCATGGGCGCTTTCACCTGGAAGAAACTGGCAGGGACAGCAGAAGTCAGAGCCGGACCTGGAGCATCTGCATAGGCCCCAAGAGTACCCAGCCTCTATTTCTCCCGCTTGCTGAGAGACGAGGCAATGGGCCAGAGCCATGACCATGAGGCCCCAGAACCTTTGCACATGCCACCCCGCCCACAGTCACCCCCAGCACTGCGTGGCCAGGCCTCTCCCTTTGGCCAGAGCCATAACTCCTGTGCCCGGGTGGCTACTCTGCACACACTGGCAACTTCTATCCAGATGAAAGGGCTTCCCCAGCCCAATCCTGTAGGCCTGGCTCCCACCATGTGCCAGGCAGAGGTGCCCATCTCTGTGGCCTGTGTTGGGCACTATGGGCATGACCTGCAGACACCACCAGCCAAGCCGCTGCCCCACTGAGAGCCTGCAGAGGGGCCGAGGCCCTCCCTGCCAGCAGCAAGTGACGAGTGGGGCCCAGAGAGTGGAGGGGACACCACCATCCGTCTTCCCTGGTGAGCCTGCCATGCCCACTGCTGCCGGTGACAGGGGACACAGGGGCCCTGCACAGACCAGCTTGAGATGCACCTGGCTGGGGAGGGAGCTGCTGCAAGACCAGAGGTCCCAGCTGGAGTGCGGGGCAGCGAGGGTGTCCAGGGACAAGGGGTTAGGACACAGGGATCCAGCTGGGGGCTCAGGAACTTCTGGGCCTCTAGGGCACAGCTTCTCAGTAGGCATGGGGAAGTGCAGGCCGAGGACAGTGGCTCATCCCGGACAGCTGGCTGCGGTCAGCAGGGCCGCTTTTGAGTAAGGAGCAGTGATGTCACCCAAAAGTCCCTGAAGAACCACTTCCAAGTTCCTTAGCAGACTGCTCGGCCAGGGAAAGGCAACTGAGCTGCGGAGCCTCAGGCCAGAGCTGGAACATGCAGGGTGGGGGCGGGTATTCAGGGTCACAGGCTAAACCACCCACGGCCAGGGGCTAGACCTTCAAGGGCCAGGAGTGGACAACTCAAGGGCAGGGCGAGACAGTCCGAGGTCTGGCTGGACCACTTGAGGTCAGAGGCTGCACTGTCCAGAGTTAAGGTCTGGAACGCCCTAGGCCAGCCGGGGTCATCACCCGATGGCACACGGAAGTCCCTTAAGCAGAGGTCAGGTGACTCACGGACCCTAAAGCCCCGGAGAAGTCTTGGGATAGCAGGAATGACTGGGGCCTCGGTGAGGGAGGCCCTGAGGCATACGACAGTCCTGGCCCCTCCGGCAGTGGATCCCACTCTCCAGCCCAGCACGCACATCCGGTACAGCTGTGCACACCTGGAGCCCCAGACCTCGGTCCTCCCTGGTTCCGCCATGGCCTCTCTGCCCCTCCCTAACTACACCTCCGTATCCTGCAGTCCCTGGGGCTGCGTGGTCAATAGCACAACTTGCGCAGAGCGTCTGGTCCGCAGGAGGGTTTATCCTGGGGTGGGTGGCTTCGTCCCACCGTGGCAGAGCTACTGGCCCCTGGGAAGACTTGTCTTTCTGTTGACAGCAACATGATGGAAGGGGTGAGGGGTGAGGGGCTCCCAACACTGTACAGGGCTCCAAGAAGACTTTAAACAAGGGCCATTTAGACAAGGTCTTGAGGGATGCCTAGGAGTTCTCAGGATAGACTTCCCCAGGAGGGGGCCTGTGGGCTGGGCCTCAGAGACCCACACAAGTTCACTGGAGAGCAAGAAAGGAAACATCTGCCTGGAGCTTGTCTAGGGAGACCAGGACCTGCTGGTCCATGCCAGGCTCTGGACACCACCATGTGGGCATTCATCCCTTGCCCTCCCTTCTCTTTCCAGTCCCAGAGCCCAAATGGGGCCTTGCAGTATCTGTGCTGTGTCACTCAGGGTGGCCTGGTGGGGTGACAGCTCTGTCCTCATGGCCACCCAGGGTGGGCTGGAGGGCATGTGTGCCAGGCTGGAGCTCAGAGACCCCACCTCAATCCTTAAGCCCAGTGCTCAGTGCCTGCCAGCAAGCGCCAGGCCCAGTCCCCTCCCAGACAGGGCAAAAACAGAAAAGCAGGGCTGTGCCACCTGCCAGCTGGTGGCTGTGGAAAAGGCACGGCCCCTGCCTTGGTTTCCCTACCCATAAGTGGGTGGGGTAAGGTTGCTCTCTTGGTAGGGCTGTTGAAGGTTTAAATAAATCAGCTTCGCCAGGTGCTCGGGCCTGGGTGCCCGCGGAGGGGCCGGGGACCCTCAGCCATCACCACTTGCTCTCTCTGCAGCTTCAGTTCCCCTCTGCGGGGGGCTCAGTCCCTGCCTTGTGCAATCACCGAGCCCCAGGCCTGGCCACTGCTGGGCCTTGGGTTCCTGCCCAGCCAGGATACAGGCCCAGTGCCCCACCTCCCAGCCTCAGTTTACTCGTCCATCAGCCACCAGTCTGGCTCTCGGCAAGGCCCGGCCGGGAAGCGGCCACACACAGTAGGACCGCATGCCGCATGCCACATGCCTCCTCCGGTCCTGTCTCAGGGCTGGGATGTGGGTGGGGCCAGCACCCTCACCATGGCACTGGACAGGGGCCTCAGTGTGGAAAGCGGCCCATGACAGGGCGTCTGAGAATGCTGCCCATTGTCCCCTCACAGAGCACAAAGGTCGGGCCCAGGCCATGCGCCTGCCGTGGGCGCGCATCCCCCAGCCACAGAGGGCAAGGACGTGGTTGTCAGAGGGCACTGCTCACGCCTGGGAACGAGAACCATTTCCTGCGCCCTAGGGGTGGCAGAAGGGTGCACTGGCACTGGGGGTGGGGTACAGAAGGGGAAGCCTGGCTTTCCATGGAGCTGGGGCCCGCAGGGAACATCTGTGACTTGGCGTGAGTGCCACAAGGAAGGGACAGACACCGTGTGGCCTCGGGGCCTCTCAGAGCCTCTGCATCGCTCCCACTCCAGTAACCCTGTGGCATATATCACAGAAAGTGAGGCTCACAGAGAGGTGCTACTGTGGTCACCCCGGGCTCTGCACCACCAGGTCAGGGCTGGGCGAGCGGCAGGCAGACAGCAGCCGTCTGCAGGAAGCCGCAGGGGCCATGTCCCGGCCTCGTCACCAACACCTTCCTGGCCACAAGGAGCAGGGAGGAACTGCGAGTCAGGAGCTTCCTGTGGGGAAGCAGGCAGGGCTGGGGCACAAGGCAGACAGGGACAGGGCGCAGGCGGGACCCCTCCTCCAGCCAGTTCGGCCCACTGTTGTTTTTTCCAGTCGAAGAAGAAAAACATTTCCACCTCCTCCCCTTCCTGGTCGCTGCTATCACCCTCCTCCTCCCTGTTCTGGACAGCTAGGGCGGCCAGAGCATGGAGGGGACAGGGCTGGAGACGGTGTGGGCGAGGGAGGCCCAGCCACCAACCTCCAGCCTGCACAGGGACACGTCCCACATCGCTGTGGCCCCGAGCCCAGCGCCGGTTCTGAGGAAATTCCCCTTGCTGTGTGCATGGCAAGAGGCAGGCACTGGACGCAAACTTGAGAAAGCTGATGTCACAGTGGGGCTTGAGTTCTTCTTTCTACTGAAAAGGGTCAGTGACAGCCACCAGCCACCACAGCCACTTTCCACAGCTACAGGCGCTTAGAGTTGGCACCAGCCACTCACCTTCTCGGCCCCTCAAACCCCTTCAGAAGGGCACCCTGGCACCCAGCAGGCCAAGACCTGGGGTGCACTCCCTCCTCTGTCCCCCTGCCCCACCAGAAGCCCAGGTCTGGGTTCGAGGCTTTACCTGCTAGTGCTTCTCTGTCCCCCACCCAGGAAAGGGCTCAAAGACCCAGCCCTGCTGGGGTGGTGTGGAGAGGGTGGCCCTGCTGGCCTGGACTTTGACCTCTAGTGGACCGGGGTTTGCCAAATGCCCATGGCATTCGGCGCCCCATGGTCTCTCGGGATCATTCCCCGGGTGTCGCGGTTGATTTTCCATGGGTAAAGGGGCCATCAGAATGGGCCTCATTTCTTTCTTTCCTTTTTTTCTTTGAGACAGTCTCACTCCAGGCTGGCCTTGAACTCAGGGTGACCCTCCTGCCTCAGCCTCTGGAGTGCTGGGATGACAGGGTGAGCCACCTCGCCTGGTAGGATGGTTCCTGTGTTACAGGCAAGAGCACTGAGGCTCAGAGAGGGACGCCCCTGCCTGCTGAAGCACAGCACCTCCTCCCTGCAGTCCGTGCTAGGAGGCCGTTCTGATTCCCGAGTTCAACCTAGCCAGACACCCCCATGGTGGCCCCAGTCCTGATCAGAGGCAGGAAGTCGTCCAGGGCCAGACAATGGCTGTGGTGAGCACAGCGCATTCTCCTCAGGGCTCTGTGGGGGGAGCTGCAGGATCGGAGGGAGAGGAAGGAAGGAAGGAGGAGGAGGAGGGAAGAGGGCGGAGGAGATGGAGCTGGGGCACAGAGATGAAGCAGGGGGAGGGGTGCAGGTGGCATCGCCTCCCTCACACACGGCGCAGGACCCCTCCCGGGCTGGCCGGGTATGCTAGGGGCCTCAGTTTCCGGCCAGTGCAGGGAGCCCCGGCTGCTGGGCACAGGAGAGCTCTGCCCTTCCTTCCTGCAGGGTGGGGCGCACGGCCAGGGCCATCAGGCCCCAAACACTGGGGTCCTGCCCTCTACCCCCAGGCCTCAGTTTCCCCATCTGCAGGCTGGAAAAGCAACAGCCCGGTCTGGGAGGGGGTCTGGGTGCCGCCTGTCCCCGTCGTGGGTCCTCTCGGAACATGGGTAGTGCCTGGCCGGGCCGGCAAGGCGCAGCTCCAGGGACCCATACGCGTCTTCGCTAGCGTTTCTGGGTCCCTGAACCCCACAGCCTGCCAGCCCGTCCATAGGAGCTGGGATCCCCGTCTGGTGGCCTTGGGGTGCTGTTCAGAGGCCAGGACCAGAGGGGCGGAGACAGGGACCACGCCCGGCGAACTCGGATGGGTGATGAGGAAGTGGGTGGGGAACGGTCAGGAGGACCATATGCGGCGTGGGGCGGGCGGGACAGGCACGGGGGGCGGAGCCAGGGGTGC